ACAACAAAATATGTGTAACTAAAGCTGAAGTGCGATAAATGGATGAAAGAAGTGCGTCAACAGATAATGCAACAGGGAATGTTGTAGCCCAAACGGAATTAGTGCTAGGTATCTACATCATTTGAAGGTGGAATGAAAAATAAACGAATAAAACCGTTTTTATTTTAGATCAGCAAAATAAAATACTGTCATAATTTAAGCTTAATACTTGGGTTTGCTTTACGGGAAAATACCAATATCGATTTACGTCTATCTGGGAAAGTATTGAACTAATTACATCCGCATATAATAACGAATTTAAATTATTTGTAGGCTAACTAATTAACTAACTAATTAGCTAATTAAGTGCATATATGTTTACGTATATTTCACTTGGAAAGGTAGCAAAGAAACTTTTAGGGTTCTCATGGATTTTTGTGAGATTTTACACCGAACGTCATCAAAGGGGATGTAGCTCAGTGGTAGAGCGCTCGCTTTGCATGTGAGAGGCCCCGGGTTCAATCCCCGGCATCTCCAGTGATAATTTTGTTTAACACTTTATTTTTTTTTTTAGTATATACATATATATATAATTTATTTATTATGTTTCATTTTTTATATTAATAATAGGTTATGATCATATTATCCCATTAGAAATATTTGAATCAGGAATCCTACCACAACGATCAATAAGCATAATGCAAAGAAATCTTGGGCTTGCCATGAAGAGGAAGCACAGTTTGAGCTCAAATGACTCAAATAACATTCTATGAAGATTTTAAACTAATAATACAAAATAAAATAAATTCATTTAAGAATACATCGTAGATAAGTGTGATCAAAGAATTTAGTAAATTTAACAGTTTAGTATATTTAAATCTCCCTATAATAATACTCTGAATGTTGTATATTGAAGACGTATGGGCATTTCTCCAGAAAGGTCAACCGCAGCCAAGACACTCAAAGTCAATGAAAGCATGTTCTGCTAACATATTTTTTATAACTAATCCATCAAATTAAACTAATATAAACCAATTTTACATTTTATCATAATACATCTCGAAATATTGAGACACAAAGCCGAACAGGTGCAAAAGATCTGTTTTGAGCATTTCTATTGCACATTTTGTTCTTATTATTGAGACACTATGCAATGAAATATGATACTTGGAATTTTCTCTATTTTATTATAGTTAATAAATTGAATATATTGAAAATCATTTCTAATGCTTTTATTCATGGAAACATACTACTATATTAAAAAAAAAAAAAAAAAAAAGTTTGGTGGAAAAAATGTCTCTTTCGACACGTCACCTTCAACCCTGATTAAAACTAAAAAATAAAAAAAAACTACTCAATATTTTTGAATCAAATAAAAAACATTGTAAAGATGAGCCAATTTCTAATTATTTAAAATTATTCGTATTAGCTTGTGACTTAAGGTTTCGCTAAAATCTCAGGTTGAACTGATCACTTAAACAGCGACTAACGTTTTTTGTAGCCTGCGAGCCTCTTGGGTTTTTGTGATTATCTTGAAAACTAACATTTGCCTAAAATCAGATTTAGCACCAATTATAGAGCTAATCAAGGGCTAAAGGACTCACTATTCGTAAAAATAAAAAAAATGTTTTGGCATTGGTTTTTTTTTTTTAACTCAAACACGTACGAATGTCACATTCGCCACTAGAGAATCGCCCATATGTGGTTTAAGAGAAGCTCTTGTATCAATGACGAGCCATAGGACATATGACACACATCGGAACAGTAAACTAGAAATTTGTTTCTGTCATACATACATATAGATATCCCTCTGCCTCGCCGATATAGTGCTCATGGAGTAGGTCCTTGGCGAGTTGTGATCCTGCCTGATCTTCAATCTGGAATCATGCTTAGACTAAATCATTCAATCAGCTTTATCTTTATTCTGCAACAGGGCGCAACATAAATAATAATAAAAATGAAAAATGAAACATGAAACACGAAAAACAAATACCGTGGACAGAAAAAAATTCAAATATGCAAAAATGAATTTATGTGCCGCTTGTTGCAAATTTATCACTTGGCACTCATAACTCACACACCGTGCAGTGCTCTTGTCTCTAGGCTCGTGGCTCTTGGCTCTTGTCTGTTGGCTGTTGGCGCCTAGTTGAGCAGTAATTGTGCGTCAATTTATTGGCACGGCATGTGGCAGGAGGAGACAGATGGGCTTGCCGCAGGCGGCATGCATCGAGTGGGTATCTTGCCGCACTGCAGTCGCTTTCACCTATCTAAGCGGATTAGAACCCTTTTCAGTTTGACATGGTGCTGCACGCAGCTACCGTTGCGACGGGTGGCGGACAAGTGGTGGAGGGGGAGGTGGAGAGGGAGGGGGAGAGACACCCACACCGATAATTTCTCTTTTTTCATTTGGAGGCTGCAATTAGCTGTCATCAATCAAAGCGGCCAACAATGCAGCTCCAGCAGCACTCCAGAGCAGCCATAGAGTGCCGTGGGGCAGAGGAGGGGCACATCAAGGTGGGGTAAAGGGCAGCCTAGACAAATTGAGCGCACGCAGCCCAAATGAAAGTTGTAGTTTTTATACAAGCTTTTTGTTTTTGAGCCCGAGGTCTCCAAAAAGGGCTTAGCCCAAAAGTTTTAAGTGATTATCTGACCAAGCCGCGCCATGCGCTGCATTCGCTCGCATTATTGTTGTTGTTGCTGTTGCTGCTGCTGCTGCTGCTGTTTGGCTTTCACTGCGCATTAATTTGTCTTTTCAGTTGCATTAATTTTGCTGCTTGTCGTTTATAAATTTGCTCTTCGTTTCGGGTTTGTCTAACTGTCAAATTGTGTCAACGCGCGACCAAGCCACTGCCGTCTTGGCAATTGTCTAGGCATTACACACACATACACACACGCACACACGTACATATATAGACTTTCATATGCCCTCAAAAAGCATCCGTGCCAACCTCTGACGCTGCCCTGTGGGGCCTGCCACCCCATACCATGCCCCGCCGCTATCGCCGTCCCATCTACAGACAGACGACCCCAGCCCCATCTGAGCATATTTCGTGTGTGCTTTGCCGCCTAAATATGGCAGACATTTAATTCGCAGCACTTTGTATTTTGTGCTTTGTGCTTTATGCTTTGTGCTCTTGGCAAGCTGCTTTTGGCCACATCTAGCCACAACAGCCGCCTCTTTGGCTCTGGCCAATTGCAATAAGCACATTCGACTGCTGCATCTTGAATTACCACAAAACGAGCCTCTGCAAGCAAGTGCTCTTGTTTTTTTTTCTTTTTTCATGTAAAAACCTCCTATTAGATTCCAAAACTAAACATAAATATAAAGTCAATAATAAACAAGTAAGAGTGTTCTAGTTCAGACTGCTCGACTAGGAGATACCCTAAACTATCTAAGCTGATTTTCTAATCACTCTGCACTTCTTTTATGCACACATACATACACATGCATCCACACGCACGCATAAGCCCGCGCTCTGCTAACTGCGCAGTAAGCAGCAACTGCGCCTTGGCTGCGCTGCAATGTGGGCAATATTATACGAATTTATTTGTTCAAATTAGGCTGAAAAAAAAAAAAACAAAATCAATTCTTCGAATATTCTCGATAAAAAAGTTATCGGATGAGTTATCGGAAAATTATGAAAAAATTTTTACTGCGTATAGTACACACGAGTATGCATGCCAAATTTCAGCTCCTTAGCTCTTATAACTTCTGAGATCGACGCACTCATACGGACAGATGGGCGGACGGACGGTCAGACAGAGAAGGGTATATCGACTCAGCTGCTCGCTCTGATCCAGAATATATATACTTTACGGGGTCTGCGATGATTCCTTCTTTTTCACAAAACCATTATACCCTGATTTCCCATTTTCAATGGGTTCAGGGTATAAACAGGAATAAAAAATCCTGCACTGCTTTTAATTACTTAGATAATGGGGTTCATTAGGCAGCCAAAATATATAATTAACATGGCTCAAATGTATAAATATAAATATACATTTTAACATAATGCACATGTATTTTATATATTTCAAAATATATTTGCTTTCCTTAGGGCGTCGTCAATATATTGTCACTCTTTAAAGTAAGTCGAAAGCGACGATTCTCTACGGCAAAGATGAGCTCTCTGAATTTTATGTCTTCAAATATTAATATATATAGGCGATTATACAATTGCAGAAACAAATAGACATAGCTAGATCAAGTCATAGCGAGGGCATCGCCTCGCTTCTTTCTCGAGCGCGATGTTGCATACATTATAAGAGGCATACAAGATCCAGATCATTCGCTTGCTTCAAGCGTAGGAAAGAAATATATCGAAGCTAAGAAATATTGCTCAGTTATTTTTTCAAATTTTGTTTCAAATAAAAGAGGGAAATATTACTATGATTTCAATGAAAATTGCAATTTAGTTTTCTATACAAATTTTATTAAAATTTATTTATACTCGCTTTACAGTGTGTTTTGTTTCTTTGTCGTTTAATTTATAAATTAAAATGAGAACATTGCGTTGGCCTTACAAATTAATAGCATTTTCATCTAGTATGCTTCTAAGCAATTATCTGTTTTCTTTCAGCTTGTTTTTGTGGTTTTGTTTGTTTTCATTCGATATTCGTATATACGTAAGAATTCTCATTAAATTTGCTAGGTAACAATAATTATACATTTATACACATTTATATTAATTAATTAATTGTTTTGGGGTTTCCTCATTGTCCTGTGCAACAAAAGCAGTTGAAACTGTTTAAAGCTTAAAGCTAAAGATTTGCTAATAAAACGTTCTCCTTGGTAGACAACTAAAGCGGGGCGTGGCAGGGGCGATCAGAAGCATAGCGCAAGCTGCACACCGAGTGTTGTTGTTGTTGTTCTTAGCATATTTAAATAGATTTACATAAATAGGTATATTTGTGTGTGGTTCTTCATTTGATTTAGTTTTTTTTTTCTTTTGTATTTTTCGTTTTCTTTCCTGCTTGCTTTATTTATACACATACACATATACATTATACAGTATATATGTTTTTGTTTTACATATATATGTATTTATTTATTTATATATATGTATATATAAATATTTAACATTTTCTTTTCTTTGGCTTAACTTATGCATACTATGTTATATAATTTGTATAAAAATGTGCAAAAGTATTTTACAATTTATTAAAATTAAGTACAAAATAGAAGAAGAAGCATTGGTAACAATCGCACAGAAAGTAGTATAAGAAACTCCCAGCCAAAATAATGTACAATAGAAGGAATGCCAAAGGCAGCGTAGAAAATATAGGAGGGTAGAAGTGGGCATATAAGTAGAAGTAGGCTTATTAGTAGAAATAGAAGAAACAGCTGTAGCAACAGTTGCATTAGACGTGGAGAGAAGTTAACAAAGTAATAGATATACGAGTCGAGTCAAGGAGTCAACAGCCACAGCAGCTTGAGGCGATTGCTTGCTTGGGCACAGGGCAAGTCCTGCTTGGGGCTGGTCGCTGCCGGCGTTGCTTGCTTAACATCCTTGGGCTTGTATGCTACCCACACAGCTTTAATTGAATCAGTCGCACACGCACACACATACACACACCCAATCACACTAATGTACAGGCTCTGTTCGCACTCGCTCCGCGCTCTTCTCTCTCTTTCTCTCTCTCTTTGCATCTCTCCCTTCAAATCTCCCGCTCGTTCGCTCAGGTTACTCATCACAGCTACAGCGCATGTTCGTTCGTGTTGAGAAAGCTGCGGCAGACGCGACTCACTTCGGGGTTCGTGTGATTCATGAGCTGCATGTAGATTTGTTTGTGCAGCGAAAGCTCATTGGTCATCTCGCTCAGCTGGCGCAGCAGCGCGTCCTTCTCCTTCAGCAGCGACTTGACGCGCTCCTCCACCTCCTTCGAGCGCACCTTGGCCTTCTCGCGGCTCTTGCGCACGGCGATGTTGTTGCGTTCGCGGCGCCTCCGGTACTCCTCGGTGCCCTTGTCGACGTGCTTGTTGCTGTGCTTGCGGTGCTGCTGCTGCTGTGCGTGCTGCTGCTGCTGGACGTGGTGCTGCTGCGACTGTTGCAGCTTTGTGTGATGCTTGAGCAGTTGCTGTGCGTTGGCCGCCAGGTGCGGCAGGCTGTGATGTGCCAGGACATTCGCCGTCGTCAGATTGGTGAACTGCGCCGCGCTGCTGTTCGCCGAGCTGTTGTTGTTGCTGCTGTTGCTGCTGTTGTTGCTGCTGCTGTTGTTGTTGTTGCTGCCGCCCAGCGGGTTGCCCTGGTACGCATTGTAGAGTCCATTGCTGTTGTTGATGAACGCCGCTGCCGCCTGGCTGCTGACCGACTCCTGCAGATGCCTGCGGTACTCCGGATCGATGGGCTCCTCCTTGATCGTGCTGCTCGAGTCGCTGCCCACGGAGCTGTTCTCGTCGCTCGAGTGATTGTTGTAAGTGGCGTTCGAGTGCACCGCCTGTGGCATGTACGCCAGCGCTGCCCTGCCGTACGAGTGCTGCTGCTGTCGCGCATTGGCCAGCGTCTGCTGCTGCTGCTGCAGCACTTTGGCGGCCGCACTGACCATGCCACTCGGCGGCAACGTGGCGGACAGTCCGCCCGGACTGGTCACCATGTCGCTGAAGATGCCCAGGGTCTCCGTGTCCCGGAATTGGTCATCGATAAGGTGCTGCAAGTCCAGTGTTATCTCCTGAGTGGTCAGCTCGTCCAGATCCGTCTGAGTGCCGTACTGTTGCAGCATTTGCTTCTGCAGCAAGCTGTTGCTGTTGTTGTTGTTGTTGTTGTTGTTATTGTTCAGTTGCATCTGCTGCATGGCGTGCTGCTTGACCAGCAAGGCCGCGTCCTGAATTGTGGCATTGTTGTTGGCATCCGTTGTCACCTGTTGCTGCTGCTGTTGCTGCTGCTGCTGTTGTTGCTGTTGTTGCTGCTGCTGCTGCTGTGCACTGGACATCGCCGTCAGCGTGATTTGCCCGATTGTCGCCTGCTGCGGCAGCGGCAGCGGCTGCGGCTGTTTCTTCAGGTCGAGCTGCGCCAACGTTTGCACCGCATCCGCGTACATCTGAGGCGATTCCATATTCAGCATTTTGAGTTGGGCGAATGAGGGTAAAATTTTGATGCCTTTTCTTTTAGGATCCAATTTGCAAAGGGACCGAGGGGTGGGTTGGTGCTGAATAAATCTTTGCTAAATATGCCTTGAGCTGGCGCTAAATCATTTTATATTTTATTTTTATCTTGGGGTAAAATGTTCTTTGGAAATGTTTGCAGTAATTTTTTTAATTTGTTTCCAGTTAAAAATTATAAAAGTTTACTTTGAAATTTTTTACATTTTTTTGTAAAACATCACTGTATTTAATTTGAAGTCACTTCTTAATGCGTTTTTCTTTGAGCATAGCACTTTTTCTCATATTTCATTACAAATTTCGATGTTTGTTTTTTATGTTTTAGAAGCCGCTTTAAGTGATCACTGCAGCTGCGCGCACTGTTTCTTGAACTGTTGTTGCTGTTATTGCACTTTGTTTTGTTGTTGTTGTTGTTGTTGTTATTGTCGCGCAAAGTGTTGCCTCCACGCACGCGATTCAGCGACTGAAGTGTTTCAGCAATGATGCAACAGATTTTATATGCGAGTTTTTCTTTATTTACAAGTCGTATGCGCTGACGTCGACGCTGACGCTGACGCTAACGCTGACGGTGGCGCTGCCGTTGCCGTTGACGCGGACGCTTTGTATTAGAAGGTTGCTCCTGAAGAACCGTTATGGGCTCTTAGCTATATGAGCTTTATTCGGTGTGAGGCCGTTGCGCGTTCGCGTCCGCTGCTTACAATTGGTAAATTGTAACTGTGACAAAAAGTCTTTAGCGCAGCAGCAGCGCCGAAGAAAATGAGACGCAGGCAAAGCAGCGACGCCAACGGCGGCCGAAAAATAAGCAACGCCAACAACAACAGCAGAAGCAACAGCAACAGCAAGAAGCAACTAAGGCACACACATACTCATACATACAAGCACGCACACACTGCTAAAGAGAGCAAAGCGAAATAAAAGCCCCAAAATGACGGCGTTGACTGCGCTGCTTTTACAGCAACTACCTGTGGATGGTGGTGGTGGTCAGGCCACTGCGCAACACAAATACACATGCACACACAGTCAGGCATAGAAAAAGAGAGGAAGAGTTAGAGGAAGAAGAGGAGAGAGCACAATTGAGAGCGCAAAAGAGCGTCAAACAACCGAGCGATCGACAAGCAAAGGCAAAAGCAAAAGCAAAAGCAAAAGTTTTTCCCAATCACTTTTACTCTCAACGGAACGCCAAAATCAACAGTAGCAGCAACAACAACCCGATCGCTCGAGTCACTGCAAGGCAGTTTACTTAGCGTGCAAGTTGTTGCTTTTGTTGTAGCTTTTGGCTTTGGCTGCGAGTGTGTGCCGAATAAAGTCAAAGTGCTGTGGTCAAACAAGTCTTTTAATTCGAATGGATGACATGATTATAGTTATATTATTATATTATTATTAAAGTAATATAATTAATGTCTTAGTTTTTATATGCTACTTGTTGATGTGACACTTGTTGTATAGAATTATAGCATTATGAATTTATTCATATTTATCAACACGCAGCAACATTATGGAATGCTCTTGATTCATGACGTTCAAATAACGCAATCAACCTGAATAAATATGTAACTAATTTTACATATATGACTATTACTATATTACTTAGTTCTTTACTAGAGCGATTCAATCGCAACAGACACACAGACAGCAACAGACACAGCAATTTGACTTTCGATAAGTTTGTGACGTCAAACCAACGCAGTCAACCACAAAGACGCACACATAAGCAATGGAGCTGCCGCCGCCAAACGACTCGCGACGTTGCGACGTTGCGACGTTGCGACGTCACGACGTCTCATTGCTGCTGCCGAAACCACTTCGAATTCGTCTACGCTCGCTTTCGTTTTCGTTTGCTCTTTGGAGAGGAGTGAGGGAGCCAGCCAGCAGCAGCAGCAGCAACAACAAGAGCGAAAAGAACCGCAACAACAATGAAAGGCACCACCACGCCCGCATCGAAGCCGGCTGTGCACGCACACACGGACAAGCTCGCAGCGCTGCCATGCCCCACAGGCCGCCCACCCTTCCAATGAATAGCACGTCTGCCTTGCGCACTTTGATTTGTGTTTAGACTGCCTGCTGCTTAGAAGAAAATAAAGCAAAGCGCTTTTGCTGCAGTGCACTGCTCTCTGCCGCGCATGCGTGACTGAGCGCAAAAGAGAGCGTCAGACGTGAGCGCAGGCGGGGAGCTTATGGCTGAGCTTTCACGTAACACTTAGTTGTTGTTGCCGTCATTGTAATCGTTGTTATTATTGTTATTGTTGTCTTTTGCGTCTTAAATTTAAATTAAAAGGCCGTTATGAAATACATCAAAATTAGCACGCATCGTAGGTTTGTTGATTTAAATGGAGCGATTTGTAAAATTCGTCCACTGCTCTCGCTTACCCCAATATTCGAGCTACCCACCAACTAACACCCAACCCCTTCCCCCCATCACAACCACTCTCTCACTGTCGCTCTCGCTCTCGCTTTCAATTTGCCTTTATATGGGTCAAGTTGTGTGGCGTTTTTAAGGTGTGCACAGCCTTAGCGTTACCGTTTGGTTATACTTACACTTCAACTTCAACGATTACTCATACGCTGCGTGTGCATATGCACGATAAGCGTTCGTTGCAGCCAAGCTGGCGGGCGGGCCAGTCGGGCTTATCAGTCAGAGCTATCACTGATTGATAACTAAGCGAGAGCTATCGATATCGATGACTACACTGCGCGGATTGTGCAAGCCGAGTTCGCTTCCTTGTTCGTCGCATTGCAAACTTTGCAACTGCTGGTTGCACCGCTCCTTTGTGTGTTCTTGCAACATACCGATTTACCAATCCCCAGCTCTTGATAAGATTGTTTTACTAATGCAAATCGAAGCAAAAGTGAGGCAACCGCGCTTGCACACACACGCATGCACTTAGTTAGTTGCTACCATGAAATTCTTTCAGCAATGCTCTGACAATTATTATTATTATTTGATGATTTTTTGGCATATGACTGATAAGACAACAAAAATTCGCAACGCGTGCGCCCTAAAACAAAAACAAATATCAATAAAATTAATATGCAGCAAAAAGAACAACAAATGCCAAAGAAAAATATGACTTAAATCGAGCGTTCATTGCACTCGGCCAAAACAAAACGTTGACTTGGCTGACAGAGACCAAAAACGACTAAACGTTATAAACAGAACCAAAACATTCTTACTGACTGAATACAAAGTCCAGTTAAAGTAATTTTATATATAAACAACAATAAAATTATTATACTTATACGTATACTTATACTTATACTTATACTTATACTTATACTTATACTTATACTTATACTTTTATACTTATACTTATACTTATACTTATACTTATACTTATACTTATACTTATACTTATACTTATATACTTATACTTATACTTATACTTATACTTATACTTATACTTATACTTATACTTATACTTATACTTATACTTATACTTATACTTATACTTATACTTATACTTATACTTATACTTATACTTATATACTTATACTTATACTTATATTATTTATACTTATACTTATACTTATACTTATACTTATACTTATACTTATACTTATACTTATACTTATACTTATACTTATACTTATACTTATACTTATACTTATACTTATACTTATACTTATACTTATACTTATAATTTATACTTATACTTATACTTATACTTATACTTATACTTATACTTATACTTATACTTATACTTATACTTATACTTATACTTATACTTTATACTTATACTTATACTTATACTTATACTTATACTTATACTTATACTTATACTTATACTTATACTTATACTTATACTTATACTTATACTTATACTTATACTTATACTTATACTTATACTTATACTTATACTTATACTTATACTTTATACTTATACTTATACTTATACTTATACTTATACTTATACTTATACTTATACTTATACTTATACTTATACTTATACTTATACTTATACTTATACTTATACTTATACTTATACTTATACTTATACTTATATACTGTAGAATTCTAGCTGCTTTTCAGCTGTTGTAGGCAACTTTTTTGTTGTTGTACGTTGGTTCTGTGCTTTGTTTTTGTTTGGTTCTTTGGGGTCGTCAGTTAGTCACAGATAAGCAACGATGGTTACTTCCTTAAATTCGAACTCGTCGCATTGAACCCGACGCGAGCTGTTAGTGTGATTGTTCGAGTGTATCGAATATCTGGAACTGTCAAAATTCTCACGGCTCTGCAACTAGATGACTTTCAATTGAAAATCGTTTTCGATTTGTTTTTCGGCGAAAAGTTTACCAGCGAGCGAGCAGCGCGCCAACTTTCATTTGCGAATTCGCGTATAGTCAGCATTAAATATTCCCCGTCATCAGGTTGAGAGCCACGGGAATGGGTTCTATACCTTCTTTGGAACCACTGCAAATGCAAACGAATAAAAATGAATGCCCCATAGAGTTCGACGAACTTTAACAATAAATGGTGTTAAATACTCAACAATTTAGTGGAAATTCCTCATTTTGAATGGAAGTTAGGAGTATTATTGTATTGATTTTGAGAATAATTTATAACTAATAAATTTTTTGGTATTTACCACTATTCATTGAATACATTAGAAAATGAAAATATCGTTGATGTAAATGTATTAATATATTTTTTTGCGAATTTTAAGTAAATTTACCTGAATTTGGAATAATCAATCTAAGCTTTGTAAAAAAACAAATGAGAATATCCTTAAATTATATATTTTTATAGTTTTATGTACATTTACCTGAATTTAGAAATAGACAAAGATTTTATGAGCAAACCATTACGGTTATAGCGAAAATAAATAATTATTATTATTTAAATGCGCGCGCCAACTGCTTGCCAAAAACAGATTGTTTGGCAACCAAGCTCAAAGCGCCATCTTTTGTTCGATGTTCGGATATGAGCAAAGTATATACTGCTTGCTATAAACTGCTTGCATGCCGTACGCATTGTTTACATGCACTGCTTGCACGTATTGCTTGCAAAACATATGATTCTAATGATATTTTCAATCCTTTGGAATTGGAGGAATTTTAAATGGAGTTAGTTAGTTTGAGGGTATGAGAGTCTATTAATAGGCAAACTTAGTCGGATGAAGGCATACATTTTTTTGATATAAACTTACTCTGACAAACGGAAATCATCGTACAACATTTTAATTTGCTGTTTTCTTTGCTTATTAAGGGATCTTTATTTTTAATAAAATGTAGCTATTACAGAAGTATTGGCGTTTTACTTTGTCAAATTAAGAGGACAGGACCTGACAACTTTTTTTTTAAAGCTGAAAATGAATATGCAAAAAATATAACATATATATATATATATGTCTATAAAAAACACATAACTGTACAATATATTACTGTTCAAAAGTTTGTTGGACATTTACAGACAGCGCATTAATAGAACCAAATGAAGGCACGTTTTGATTATAAATAGTATTTTAATTACTATTAATTATAATATTTTTACATACATATATGCATATATATCTAGAAGAATGAAATGTAGTAGATGAGGGAGAGAGAGAGAAAGAGAAAGACATAAAATAAGAGAGTGAGAGAAAGAGTCTGTAATTTACATCCCATACAGCTCAAATCTTTCATTTGAAGCTAGAGTCCGATAAATTATTGAGATCTTTAAGAATAAGCGTTTGAAAAAAATTTATAAAGTGTGGACCCCAACTCATCCGCCAAAA